TTTCCAGCAGTTGGTCTCCTTTCTTTTATCCTTTTCCTTTATTCAGCAATTGGCGGAGCACAGATCTGGCGGCGTCGGACACGGACACGCCCCATCATTCGCAACGGACAACACTGTAAACAAGTGCGTAGTTGGCCATGGAACTCCCTGAACCCTGTAAACACATCTGCTGACAGGCATTGCGTGGAACTTGCACCATCCCACTGCCTCTGCGTGGGAGCCTAAGCATGGCGCATCCACAAATGAAGCTAATGGGCGCCTACTGCTTGCTCCTATTCCACGAAGGGATGCATTCCAGATGCATTTCTGGATATCCGAGTACGCTCGCTTGAAACGGTACACAGAAAACGGATTTTTCGAGCAGCTCGGAGTGCTCCCTAACAAATCCCCAACGCAATTATCTCATGAATCCCGGAAACTTCAGAAAAGTTTGAGTAGTTTTTGGAAAGAGCAAATCTTCTAGCATTCGACACCGGTTTCAGATTTGCAAACTGTTGAGTTTCAAGGAAAATATCTTCGTTCAAACAAGGACAGTTTGCATGCATCCCAATAGATCCCCAACCTGAATTTCTTCCTGAATTTGGCGACCTTCATAAACATTTCAGTACTTTTCGGGAAGCTCAAACCTTTTTCTACACGACTGCGTTTTCCCTTTCCCACAGGTCCGCTTTTGAGGAAGTTATGGCCCTTCAAAGACACCCTGTTTTCCTGAAAACTCGCGCTCCAATCAACCACCTTGCAACCACCTTGCGGCGCTGGTCCTGCCCAGAATCCCTTCCAATCGATTCCTCGGCCGTTTTCCAGCTGTTGCGGATTGCGGCTGTTCCTTTGTCCTTCTTTGTTTTTTTTGTTTTCTAATGAAGAGATTCTCTCCCACTGGTGGGCCAAGCGATTAATCCGTATCAAGACGTTGTTCGCCATTTCGGAATTTCTGTATTTCTCCCAATTCCGCTTCTTTCTTAAATCGATACATATACGTTGTACTGTCCGCAGTTTCGTCTTTTCTTCCAAGTTGTCAAGCGACCTTAGGCTTTGTAGGGTGGGGGAGGATCAGCACATTCGCTACTTCACATCCTCGTATTCATGGCAAATACAAAGTTTGAAAGGTAATCTCCAATAAATGAGTGTATCACTTTTATGCCTTTAAACTTAAGAGGCATGTAGTATGCCGCGAGCGTTGAGCAAAACAACACATGTGGGAAAAAAACTATTCTTTTCACTGCTTGTTTTTTGCTGGGAATGGTCGTCCGAACCCCCCCCCCCCAAAAAAAAGGGGGAGGGTGAGGTCGTACGGGCTCGACCAAAATCCCCAACTAATGCTGTGCCATGCCAGTTACCCCTTTTCAGGTAATGGGCAAGTATTTTGAGTTCGGAAAAGTGTGACAGAACTTTCCCGCCAACCTAATATATTCATGAGTTCGTTCCCGTTCATAACATCAAAGCGCGTTTCAGGTGCTAGCACGTCGTAGCGTCAACGCGTAACCCATCATCGCGAAGTCTGAACGCTGCCTTGTGTTGTTCTGCCAGTCAATCAGTAGTCTTGGAAACTGTGCACGGCCAGGGTTCTAGCACCTTAAAGGAAAAACCCGCGATTACTCGCCATCTCAGATGGTGGATTAGGGGGTTCCATATAGACGACAAGGGGTTGAGTAACTCGACTGTGAACAAAAAAAGCACAAAAAAAACATGCCACCTGCCCTAGATAGAACCCCATTTCGATCCCAGTTTGTACGTGCCCAATCAACTCTATCTCCAAAACTACGCCCTCATATGCACGGCTGATTCACCGATAAGATTTCTACGATCGTACAAGTGGCGATTATCATGCTTTGTCTCATTTTCCACTGGAAGTCGGTCATTAGGGGCGGAGTCTGGAGGCGGAGTCACTGGAAAAAAGGAGGAGCCACTGAACCTATATTGCGCTACAGCGCCCCTCCCATAGAATTTTTTGCCGCGAAACCGGTACAAGGTTGTTCGTACCACTCTAACCTCCTGACGCCATATTTTCAACTTCGATACCTGATCGCGGACCGTGCCTTTAACTAGTCATTGAATACACATCCAGCTGCTTGTAATCCTCTCTCCCCGTCTACATAACGGATGGATATTGAGTACGTTCCTTATGGTACACATCAATCACATTATTTTTTATCTTTCTCGAAGAAGTGTTCAAAACATCTATCAGGAGATCAAAGTTGCGGCGTTGGAATGACTCTGCACCGCGAAACCGCGAAAATATTATACAAAGGGAGTCAAGCAGCAGGAAATGTCGCGCGCCGTGGTAGTTTCTGCATTCCGCAGCAACTCGAATCTCCCTACTAATAGTAATGTTGAGCTATAAAAAATTATCACTCGTAGAGTCGCCTGAGAAAAAACGAAGATCTCGTGCCAAGAAAGGACCTCCTTCCATATCCTAAATGAGACATACAGTCATCCTGGTGCTGTCAATCCATATCACTGCGTAACCCCACCTTCAAATCAATCAGGAACGTATCAGAGATCTGCATCTCCTCATCGATATCGATCCTTACTACTTGGCCTCCATTCCTGAAGCAGACCTTCAAAGTTGTTAGGAATTTTTGTTCAAAAATCCAAAAAGGGAGCTTACGCGATGAGATCCGGATAGAACTGAGAGTCCCATTGTTTGTAGAAGGAGTTGCTGACATATAGTCGTTTTCCGTCAAGACTCAACTGAAGAAACGCCGGTCCACCGCGGAAAGTCTTTCCACCAACCAATGTCGTCTCCGGTCGCCGCTCTGCATTGACAATAGCGAACCTGTGCGTTTTATCCTAAAAAGAAGCCAGCGATTGTTGCTGCAAGGATATCATGCTCTCGCTTCGCGCGAAATGCGGCTTTTCTGAGAGTTGAACGGTACAGCGTTCATGACAAAGGGATCGCGTTTATCCGCTACAGCTCAGCTCTCCCTTTGAGGGTACCCCATCGCGTTGTGATCAATTTCTGCTAAATACGACCCCCCCCCTGAGAAGGGTCTCGATACACCCCCCCCCCTCCCCCCTCCCCTTGTCCGCTGCTAATCTTGTGGCAGCGGACCAGCGGACAAACACCTACCGAATAATGAAAGATCTGCAAAAATAAACGACAAAAAATGACGCGACGTTAAGGATAAAAATGAGAAACACGAAAACACGATGGAATTGAGCCATAATAAATCATATCTAAATTGAGAGAAGTAATAAATTATAAACGAGTATGAAAAGACACAAGGAAAAAAAGAAAATGCGAGTGACAGCACTTGAATATTTGTCGTTCGCGGTCATGGTATTGGAGCGAGCTATTTCACAACCCGGAGCCAGTTTCAAGCCAAACACTCGAAAAGTACCCCTCACTTGAACACCCATAACTTCTTTGAGAGTAGAGCTTTTGGAGAGGGGAAAGCAGGACTGTGGAGCACTAGGCTGGCACTTGTTCCTGAGTTTGAGCGATTTCGAAAAAATCTTTTTTTCGAGAAATTTTCTCCGTCGTGATCCGGTCGTGATCATCGGGGGTCATTTACAAGTTCTTACGCTTTGAACATAACATAACCCATAACAAGCTTCATACAGGGCCATTCGTGAAAAGAAAAGCAATGCCGGGATTTCGAAGGTTCCTACTTTCCAGCAAGACTTTCATTTTATCCCTAGGCCTGCTATTCGAAAAAATCCTCCGTTGTGATTACAACGCAACCCCTATGCAACTGCCGACGTCACGAAAACCCACCCATCCGACGCCATACCACTTCCAGTTCGTTTGAAGGCTTTGGTATGCTTCTAAAACACATGTTTTCGCCAAGGATATCAGGAAATAGTTCATTCGTAATAAATAAAATAGTGATAGTGAATAAAATAAAAAAAATAGATCACGTTTGTAATGCGCCATGCATAGGGCTTTCACGCAGAGTGTTGGGAAGGTGCAACTTCTAGATAGGGCTTCCTAAGTGCAAGCACATGTGCTCCTGCGATCAGGTCCGGAAGGGTACTTTCATCTGTTTATTAATCGTCACGTCGTGGGTTCTTTGGTTTGTTTATTAATTCATGACGTCGTTGTGGGCGGTCATCGTATTTCCTGTCATCGCCCGTTCCCCACTGCGCTGGCAGGTTGCTTCTGTCTTGTGTGGGTCTCTTCAGGGGTTCTTCACATGGATAAGTCTTTCATCATTGAAGCTGAACGACATCTGGGTATCGCTGCACCCTCACTTCAGAAAGGTCCCCGCGCTTACGACCCCCCTCCCTCGAGGTCAAATACGACCCCCTGTTGTGATCATCACAACGATGGTGTGCCCTGCTCCCTATTACTATGAAAAGAGGGCAAGAAGCGAGATCAGGTCGTAGTCGTTTTCTGCTCGTCTGCGTCCTCTACGGTCTACGGACAACTTGAACTGAGCCCTTTAATGCCTCAGCCCTTCACTGCCTCACTCTTCTATTCTTCTCTGCACTTCTCTCTTCTGTGTGGGATTTCCATGACCACTATGATCTTATACATTACAGCTTTTCTTGCGTAATGAGTGGTTCAACCTCTCGCGGAGTCCCCCACTCTTGGAAAAATCTCGCCCTCAGCTTATCACATGTTTTTTGCACCCTTCGACCTGTATTATTGTGGAAAGCTAGAACATTGACTATACTGCGCATTAAACATCAGGGAATGAGCGCAGCCCCTGAACGTGACCCGCGTTGCGATCCGAGCGCAAAATGGCGCTGGAGCGCTGCCTGTTGACGAGGGGAGAATCGTGGTGCGATTTCCGAGCCTGATCACTCTTTCAGAAGAAAGGCTCTTGGGAAAGACAACATG